TATACATCTTCCTATTGCCACAACACATTCTCCTTACTGTTTTGTCACACTCAGCCACTTATCCATTGGGTAATCTGAGAAAGTTCCCACTAACATCTCTATTTTATTATGCTGTTAAGATTTTTCTTTATTGGGACTGGAGAGAGGTCAGTGGTTAGAGCACTTGCTGCTCTTGCAGAGGACCTAAGTACAGTTCTCAGTACCTATATCAGGCACTTCCAACTGCCTGCAGCTCCAGCCCCAGGAGCCGATTCCCTCTTCTTGTCTCCACAAGATCCTACACACATGGTATACATACACATGCATATAAATAAAAACAAAATACAAAGATTTTCTTTACTAGACCCCTGAGTTTGTACAAGGTAACCAGAGAGACTCAGAGTAATAATCTTTGATTGCTAATCAGTTCTCAACACTCCATGTTCTAACCAGTAGGCCCCCAAGTAGGTGTACCTCCAGCAGGAGTATACAAAGTGATCCACTGAGTGTGACAGTAAATATAACAACATTTATTCATGCTAATTTGGGGTATGAAAAATAATGTTATTACTAGTTGATTTGTATCTTAAAATATCTGTAAATCATTAAGAAATAATAGCTGAAATAAATGTGGGTTAACTCCTGGGTCATGTCAGGTGGTCAAATACCAAATATAGGATACAAGTGGTATTCTTAGTGCCATGGGAGAGTTGCACAACATTAAGGGGGCTACAATGATAGCATCATTCATTTAGCTCTTTTCTCCTACTGCTGCCTAATGCCTGCTTACACATGACTAACAGAGGAAAGCCTGATGCTCAAGCTCTGAAGCCTCGGGCATCTAGAGAGATGACACAAAGATCCACACTGAAGAAAGATGAGCCCAACGGGTAGGAGAAAAACTAGCAGATAATTAAAAAACCGAGCAAAGAACAGAGAAAATGAGCCAGTTATGATTACTCACAACTGGAATCCTAGCACTCAGGAAGCTGAGGCAGGTGAATTACCATGAATTTGAAGACAGTCAATGCTAATAGTGAGTTCCAGGACAGCCTAGGCTTATCAAATAAGATTATATCTTAAAAATTAAAGGAAGAAAATTCCAGAACAATTGCAGAGAGGTAGTTCGAGATGAGGACTGAGATGAGTGCATTTGGCAGGACAAGACTTGAAAGAGGGAGGGCAAAACCCTGTCAAGAACCGGTTAGATCAGGAGTGCTGGAGGCATAGGAACTCTTCAGAGGAGTTTGCTTTAAAGAGGAACACACAAAAATAGGATCGTTAGATGGGTTTAGGAAATCAAGGGGAGTTTTTTTTTAAGAAGGTGAGTGACATAACCACTTAAGTACTGAAAGAGAAAATCTAACAGGGGCCTCACAATCACCTGAATCACCCAAGAAAATGACTAAATAAATGGTGTTGTCACTGTGTGTGTATGGAACTCTCCCATGCCACCATGATCTGGCCTCTTCTGGCCTGTGAGCACACACATCACACCGTCAAACATTATTATCTTTAAAAGAACAAATCCGATAAAAATGAAAAATACCCAATAAAAACAAGAAAACTTGGAAAACATGTAATTATAAACATAAAGCCTTCAAATGTTGTGACCAATAGGCACAGGAGTTTTTCCTTGTGATGAGATGAAGGCAGAGATCAGGGTGCTCCGCACAGGCAGACAAGTGGATAAGCAGATCAGGTAGCATGAAGAAAGAAATTCTGTCCTGGCAGTTTCTAGTTTTGTAGGCAAAAATGGCTCATGCCTATAACCCTAGTGGTCAGGAGAAACTGTGATTCGATGACTATGAATTTGAGGATAATCTGGGCTGCCCACAATATCCTTTCAAAGATAAAAAGGAAGGGAAGGAGAGAGGGAGGAAGGGAGAGAGGAGCTGGAAAGAATCAGGTAAGAATGAGGGAATGAGTCAGAGTGTAAAGGAAGAGTTGGGAACCCTCCGACTGCTGCAGGGTAGGACATGCTATGGTGCAGATCAGAGGACAACTTTCAGGGGTCAGTTCTCTCCTTCCACTGTGTAGGTCTTCTAGACTAAACTCATCTTCCTGACTCATCAAACATTTTTTTTACATTAAAAAAGGAGGAGGGTAGGGGGATCCAATCAGCACATTTTCCAAAAACAGTGTCACAAAAAGCCTGACACTATTTTGGAAGACGTTGGTCTTCTCAATCAAAAGACTCTCTATGGAATTAAGGCCTTCAAGCAAATCATCTGTCTTCTGCCCTTATGTTCCTCTGGAATATAAAATACCAGCTTTGCTGGAAATGAAAGGATTGTTTGTTCTGACACAAAGAAGGGTTGATTACTTACAGGCCCTACGCAGTTGAGGACAAGCGTTGCCTTTTTAGCCATTTCATCAAGCGAGGCTGGATTGCTGAGATCACATATTATTATTCCAACTTCAGATGACAGTGTTGGTCTTCCTAAAGTTAAAAAAATCAATTCAAGCAAGTCTACGTCAATATGAGACCTTCTAGACCACCTTTCTATAGTAGTCAGTGACTACAAATTTACTAAATGTACTAACATACTTAAAACATTCAACCATGAAAATGTTACAGTCTAGTTTAGGTGCTGAGTAGAGGACTTCTCTGTCTTCCTCTCCAAGATATTTCTATCACAGAACTACCTACTAAACAGTTAATGATCCAATTACAGGAAGTGGAAGGGGACTGTCAGGAGTCATCACCATGAGAACTAAAGAGGACTCGGGCCAATTCACTTTTTCAGCATTTCTCATTTATTTTTCGGGTTGTTTTTTTGTTTGTTTTTGAGACAGAGTTTCTCTGTGTAACAGCTCTGACTGACCTGAAACTCTGTAGACCAAGCTGTCCTGGAACTCACAGAAATTCACTTGCCTCTGCCTCCCAAGTGCTGGGATTAAAGGTGTGTACTACTGCCAGCCCCCCTTCCCCCGCCCCAGCTATTATTTTTCTGATGTGTGTGCATCTGTATAAATGTATGTACATTTTAATATGTGTGCATCTGTATATATGTATGCACATTTTAATATGTGTGCATCTGTATACATGTATGTACATTTTAATGTGTGCATCTGTATATATGTATGCACATTTTAATGTGTGCATCTGTATATATGTATGCACATTTTAATATGTGTGCATCTGTATATATGTATGCATTTTTCAGTGCAGGTGTCCAAGGTGACCAGAGGTCTTTCCTGAAGCTGGAGTTACAGGGGACCGTGAGTCACCCAACGTGGGTGTCAGGAACTGAACATGGATCCTTGGCAAGAGCCGTACATGTTCTTAACTGCTGAGACATCGGTTCAGCCCTGTGAATTCATTTTTAACTAGTCCAGCCTACATAAAATCATTCAGGCATATACGAAAATAACTGGAATTAACTGACCCAATAGAGCAATGCACGTCTCCACTGGTGAAGGCATACTCTCCAAAGTCACCTAATTTTGGCAGTGTAGATGGTAAATAAGTAACTAGGCTATAACTATAGAGCAGGAGTTCTCAACCTTCCTAATGCTGTGACCCTTTAATACAGTTCCTCATGTTGTGGTAACCCCCAACCACAAAATTACTTTTATTGCTACTTCATAACTGTAATTTTCCTACTGTTGTGAATCATTATATAAATATTTGTGCTTTCCCATGGTCTCAGACAACCTCTGTGAAAGGGTCATTTGACTCCCAAAGGGGTCTCAATCCACAGGTTCAGAACCACTGCTATAGAGTCTCCCTAAGGAGGGAAAATAAAAGAATGTATTTTAATAATGACACGTTTTCCAGGAAACAATAAGTAAGTGTCCATAAACTCTTTGTCATAGTTCTCTGTGTTAGCAGTAGCAGCATTAAGAGTTGTAGGAAAACCTAGCTTGGATGCTATCTTCTATGTATAACCACCTGGCAGAAGACTGTATTCTCACTCTAGGCTAGTCTCTAACACTGCATAGAAAGAATGCAAACAAGTGTGACTTGTCTTACGTGGAGACTTAGTTGCCAGACTCCAAGGCTACTGGGTTCTAAGTCAGGTGCTTCCCCCAACTAGAAAGTAGGACGTGTGTGTATGTGTGTGTGTGTGTGTGTGTGTGTGTGTGTGTGTGTGTGGTGTGTGTGTGTGTTACAACAAGGTCTAGCAAGGAAAATACTACTCAATAAATATATGTTGAAATAAGTCGAAAGAATAAGTAAATATCCAAAACATAAAAAGCTGGGGGTTGGGTAAGGAGGAGGTGGAGGGAGTCCACATTTTTATGAATAAGATGACTGGAGGGGGTGTGGGCAGTGCTAATGTCAGCATTTGGGAAGATGAAAGCAAGAGGATCGCTAGGTCCTGGCCAGCCTACATTGCCTCAAACAAAACAGAACTGCTGGAGTACTTCTACATGCAAACACACAAACTAAAAAACAAAAGCACAACAAATGCTCCTGGGATAACTCAGGAGCACAGTGCATGCTGACTTAGCACATTCAGGAGTGCTGAGATAAATCCTTATCAGCAAAACAGACAAACAAGCGCACTATAATGTTATTAGTACAACGCCAGCTTTCTTTCTTGTTCCCAGTGGACCTCTGAGAAGTCAGTATCTTATCTCCCTTTCTTATAATAAGAACTCTACCAGAGTTCTTATTTCGACAGCGGGGCTCCCCAAACTGGGGGGGAGGGGGACCTTTTCATTTTTTCCTCCTTTCTTTCATTTAGGGGCGAACAGGGCCAGGCGGGGCCAGGCGTCGGTCCTCGAGCAGGGCTCGCTGCTGTCGCACACGGGGAGACGCCCCTCGGCGACCCGCGCCGGGCCCAGCCCGGCCCTGCCCAGCCCAGCCCGCCGCTTCGTTACCCAGCTTCAGGGCCGCCTTCTCCAGCACTTGCTGCAGCTTCTCTTTGGAGCGGCCCGCCACGGCCCAGGGCAGGCGGGAGCTCTGCTCCATGGCCACCTGCTCCCGGGCCACCTCCTCCGTCACGAACTGGCCGGTGAAGCCAGAGGCGCCGAACACCACCAGGTGGAAAGGCCTCTGCTCCGTCGCCATGACGAGCCCACAGCGAGCCGCAGCCCGGGGCGGGCTGAGTCCACCGCGCCTGCGCCTCAGGCCGCGACCCCAGTACCGGGCACAGCAACCGCCGCTGTCCTGGCCGCCGTCACCGTCGCCGCGGCTAGAGCGCCCGGCTCCCTTCAGCCCGCGCGCGGGCCACGCCCACGGCCACGCCCCCGCCGCCTCGCGGCCCCGCGCCCCCGCGCCTTCCTCCCGGGCGGGCGGCTGGCGCTGCGGGGCCTCGTCGGGCTCGGGCTGCACGTCGGTGTCGCTGGCGGACAGGAGTGGCCGGCGGCCCATGTTGCCCGCGGCCCCGCGACCCGCACCACTCTGGCCGCCCGAGGGCGTCGCGTCCTCTCGGCTTCCCCGAGGCCGGGCCGGGCCGGTTATTCCCGCTCCCCCCACCCCGCCCCGGGGATTGCGAAAAGAGCCCGCGGAGGGGTCGCCCACGCTGAGCGCTCGCTGGAGCTTTGGAAGCCCCGCGTGTGGATGGAGGCGGAGGTGAAGCGTATTAGCAATCAGGAACGCTGGTGAGGCGCTGAGTGTCCTGGACTGTCATCCAACCTTCTTGTTGGTAATGAATTGGTCAGGGACAATTGCTTTGGACTAGGTTTCCTTAGTATAATAAATAATAATAATAATGATTACATTTATTTGTTTATTTTATGTCTGTGGACGTGTATCGGAGCTGGAGGACAACTTTCGAGAGTCAGGGGTCAAACTCAAGATGTCAGACTCGGCTGTAAGTGCCTGTACCTACTGAGCTATGCTGGGAGCTACTACACACCAAACCCATTCCTGCTAATTGAGACTTACTATGCAGATTGCAAAATGTCCCTGGGATACAGAAGCTGGGTCAGTTTATTGACTCATTATGCTCCATTTGCAATTTTGCTCTGTAAATCTCGCTTGACTTAAATACCGTCTGGATTTCTTAGAACCAGTTCTGGTTTTGAGGGGTGCCCAAATTACAGATTATTGTTGAATTGTTTTTTGTTTGTTTGGTTGGTTGGTTTGGTTTTTTGTCTTAAACTTGCTTAAAATTTTGTTGTTGTTTTTGTTTTGACACAGGTTCTCTATGTAGTCCCAAAAGGCCTCAGGCTCTGGATCCTCCTGTATCTGCCTCTGAGTCCTGGGATTACAAGCATGTGACCCCTAGGCCCCCTCCAAAGACCCCCTTTTAAAATGCTCTAGTTACTTGGGGGCTGGAGAGATGGATCAGCAGTTAAGCACACAGAGAAGCCACGATCGATTCCTAGCAGCACCCACTTACATGATGCACAGACATATACACACAGGCAAAACAGCACACACCGGAACAATAGTAGTGATAATAGTAAAACACCCGGCAGATGAGCCGACAAGGCTAGCTTGGTTTGCAGTTTGTGTGTTCCAGTCTTTGATCTGATGTGTCTATTGCTTTGAGTCTCTGGGCCCCTAGTGTTTGTTCTAGATGGCAATGACTGGAGTTCAGAGTAAATTACTCACTTCCTGGTCAAGAAACAAAGGTAGAAGGGGGTGCCTGCTATAGTCCCCCTTGTAGTCCTTCCCCCAGTGATTTGAGGACTTCACATTACCCTCCCCACAAAGTTTTCACTACCTCCACATGGTAGCTTCCCAGAACCTCAGACCAGAACTAACACAGAGGCACCAACCATCAACAGGGATACAACTCTCAGGAGGACGTTCTGAGAGTTCTACACATACCTACTACCCATGCCTACTACCTTCAGTGGACGCTCAACATTCATGCTATAGCATGCTGTAGATATGAAACTACTCCTGAATTTAATTTTGCAGTTGTGTTCTTGTATCCAGTACATGTAAAAAGTCATTTAATGCCATTCAGCAAGCATTCCCAGGGAGCCTCCTGTGTGTTCGACTCTGAAATAGGATCTATGGATACATGGCTATTACGCAGCATTGCTATCCCTAATTGGGGCGTAACAAAGCTGTATATGTGGCAAATGAGGAGAGGAACTAACTCTAGGCAGAATAAGCAAGAGAAGACATTTGTCCCAGGTTGTACTGTTGGTGTCAAACATTATGCTGAGGCCCCTTGTGTCATGGGGTAACTTTTAATTCGCTGAAAAAGAGAGTCCAGAGAAGAAGCCAATACTGGCCCAGATTAGCAGGGTTTTTATGAGAATGTCTTCTGTACATATGTTTATCTTATTGGTTGATGAATAAAACACTGTTGGCCAATAGGGCAGAAAGATAGGTGGGACTAGGAGATGAGGAGGATTCTGGGAAACGTAGGCAGAGTCAGTCACCATGTAGGAAGCAAAAGGAGTAACAGGTCTGGACTCTTTCTCCGGTAAGATAAGACCAAGTGGAAATTCTTAGATTGATAGAAATGGGTTAATAATTAAAACAGAACTAGCCAATAAGAAGCCCAAGCCAATGACACACAGTATTAAGACCAATATAGCATCTGTGTGTTTACTTTGGGGCAAGGTAGCTATGGAACCAGGCGGGAAATCCACAACAGGGTTTAGATATGGAAGAATCGAGACAGTAATTGAGATAGTAGCTATTTTAATTAAATATTTTTTTAATTCAATTGAAAAAAATTTAAATAAAGTCAGTGATTCTGAGCACAAAGTTTCTCAACCCAACAAGCATATAAATCAATAACATAGCACTGAATGTGCACAGAGAGCTGTATGGCAGGTCAAAGGAGGAGGAGGGAAGCCTGCTCATTGGCTTTGGGGAGAAATGTATGTGGCCATAAGTAAGGAGAAACAGACTTGTAGATGGGTTTTTTTGTTAGTTTGTTTTTTCTACTCGTTCGGGGCCTGCCACCCGGCTCCCAAATAAATAAATGGAGATTTACTCTTTCTTATGAATGCCTAGTCTTAGCTTGACTTATTTCTAGCCAGGTTTTCTTAAATTATCCCATCTACCTTCTGGGCTTTTACATTTCTCTATCCTACATACCTTTCTTTCCTTACTCTGTAGCTGGCTGGGCCCTGGAGTCCTCCTCCTCTTTTCGATCTTCCTCCTTTGTTGTTTCTCCTCTATTTATACTCTTTGCCTGGCAGCCCCACCTATCCTTTCTCCTGTCTAGCTGTTCAGCTCTTTATTAGCCCAACCAGGTGTTTTACACAAGCAAAGTAGCATAGCTTCACAGAGTTAAACAAATGCAACATGAAGGAATGCAACACATCTTCGCATCATTAAACAAATGTTACACAGCATAATCAAATGTAATACATCTTTAACTAGTATTTCACAACACAGACACCTGGATGGTTATTATTTGATTATAATGGAGTAAAGATAAAGGAAAACAAGACTGGTAACATGGTTGGCCCCAGCCAGCTGGGCCAGATGAAAACTGAAGGTACTTGTGGTCTGGGGAGACGTCTGTCAGTAAAACCCTTGCTGTGTAAGCCTGAGAGCCTGAGCTAGATCCCAACACCCATATTTGGGTCTGCTGGCCGCTGTTGAGGGAAGGTAGAGACAGGAGGATAATCAGGGCTTGCCAGCCACTCCAGCTGAATTAGAAAATTCCAGATTCACTGAGAGACCCTACCCAAAAAAAATTAGTGAGTTGGTTCAGCAGATTTTGGCACCTGCCATTAAGCCTAGACCCTAATTCAATCCCAGTGACACATATGGTAGATAGAACCGACTTTTGTAAGCTGTCTTCTGAAACACACACACACACACACACACACACACACACACACACACACACACACACACACACGGAATAAAGGTGCCAGATCTGTGAGATGTCTGCCAAGACAGCTGCAGACCAGGAGCGGAACCAGACCAAGAGAGAGGTGCGTTGCAGGGAGCAAAGCTCAAAGGACAGAGCCATCCAGGTCCTTTGACATTAGGCACGGAGCTACAGAATGTGGAGTTTGCCTTGCTTCTTGTGTTGGTTCAATATCTCCTCACTGTGACCTGCTTCCTCCCTTTTGGAATGGCAATGTGCCATTGAATGCTGGATGCGTGTAATTTGCTTTTTGATTTTACATGGGGTTGCAATGAAGACGTTTCTTTGTGTCCCAGAAAAGACCTGGATTTTGGACTTTAGAACAGTGTTGAGACTGTGAAAGGACAGGGACTTATGAAGTTGGACTGAATGCATGTGTACTATGATATGTCCAGGAGCTGTAGGAGCCAAGGAGTGAAATGTGGTGGTTTGCATGATAATGGCCCCCTATGCGCGCATGTTTGAATATTTGGTGCCTAGCTGGCAGCTGTTTGTGGAAGATTAGGAGACGTGGCCTTGTAGGAAGTGTGCCACTCGAGGAGGGCTTTGAGATTTCAAAAGATTACTACTGTTTTGAGTTAGTTCTCTCTGTCTCTACTTGTGGATCAACATATGAGCTTTCCGCTGTTCCTGGCGCTATCTCTAGTTACTTCACTGTCATGGATCCTAACCTCTAAAACTAGAGGACCAATTAAATGCTTTCTTTTATAAGAAGCCTTGGTCATGGTGTTATGTTTTGTTTTGTTTCCCCCAATAGAAAAGTAACTAAGGCAGCTGTTTTCTGTTGCTATGATAAATGCTTAAAGCTAAGAACTTTAAAAACAAGCCGGGCGTTGGTGGCGCATGCCTTTAATCCCAGCACTCGGGAGGCAGAGGCAGGTGGATCTCTGTGAGTTCGAGGCCAGGCTGGACCGACAGCCTCCAAAACAGAGAAACCCTGTCTCGTAAAACCAAAAAAAAAAAAAAAAAAAAAAAAACAACAACAACAACAACAACAAAAATTACTTAGCTTAATGTTAAAAACCAAAAGTTTGCCGAGCAGTGGTGGTGCCCATCTTTAATCCCAACTTTCAGGAGGCAGAGACAGGCGGGTCTCTGTGAGTTCGAGGCTAGCCTGGTCTACAGAGTGAGTTCCAAGACATCCAGGACTACCCAGAGAAACCATGTCTTGAAAAATAACAACAAAACAAACAAAGGCGAACAGTTGAAGTTTAGGCAGTCCTAACTGTTTAGTCTCTGGTTCAGGTTAGTTATCTGTTTATGGAACATGGGAAAATGGTGAGCTAAGAGTTTACCTCTGTCTCAGAGTGCTTGTTCAGCAGCACAGGGGCACTCGGAGCTGAAAGTAGGATAAAAGAAAAAAGGGCACAGAAGAGAGAAAGAAAGGTTGACTTTGCTTTATCCTCCCTCTAACAAGGGGTCCCCATGAACTTCATGCATCTGTCCAAGAGCAATGCCTGGGAACCTGGCTTCTCCTGGCTCTGCTTTTCAATGGTTTCAACACTTCTTGTCACTGCACTTGGATCAAGCACCAACACAATGAATGTTTGGGAAACATGCCCAAAACAAATGTAAGCCGTAGCACAGATAGTGCCTGTGTCTGCTTCAGAGTAATTCAAGACACATACTGGCATCAAAAGTTAGGAATATCCCTTATCCCAAATGACAGTTATTTATTGTTGTTATAAGGATGATATTGAAATGAAATTTAAATATTTCTAAGATGATTAATTGTAATAATGTATACCGTGCTGGCTAGTTTTATGTCCACTTGGCACAAACTAGAGTCAATTTGAAAGACAGAAATTCATTTGAGAAAATGCTTCCACCAGAATGGCCTGGTGGTGCATTTTCTTGATTGATGGCTGATGTGGGAGGGCCCCGCTCACTGAGAGAGCTGCTACCCCTGGGCTGTATGCTATGTAAGAAGCAGGCTGAGCAAGTCTCCTCACGGCCTCCGGCTCAGTTTCTGCCTCCAGGTTCCTGCCCTGCTTGAGTTCCTGCTTTGATTTCCCTCAGTGAGGGACTATAATATGTAAGTCTAAGCGAAATAAACCCTTTCCTCCCCAAGCTGCCTATGATCTTGGTGCTTTATCACAGCAATAGAAAAGCTAACTAAGACACATACTTATTTCTATTGTATGTCGACTTCAGCTAATTATCCACCCACACCTAGCTGTCAGACACTCTATTTCTGTAGTTGCCATTGGTTGCTTCCACACGTGAGTTGCCAAATTCCACTTGTGACATAGCTCATAGTCCTTAGGGAAAATTGTATTTTATTTGTCTGTCAATGACACCCATCTCTGTCTTCCAGGAACATATTCCACAGGCAAAGGCTCCAACCCTCACCCACCCGTCCTGGCCTCTGTTATCCCTAAGTCATAACGTGAGGCTGCCCAGAATCTGTGATGTAAGAGCTGGGTTCCACTAGCTTTAGGCCTTTCCTTGTCCTTTTCTCTTCCCACTCTTGCTTTCTCAAACACAAAATGAGTGCTTTATCCCCAAATAGTTTTTATTATTTTTTTCCTATGTGTTACATGAACTTAATAACACAAATGCACGCAAAACCCTAAGTGCTTACCAGAAGGAAAAACAAATATTGTAAAGAACATCTCAAATGATGTGCCCTGTATGATCACCGGGGTGATACATCCTACAAAAAGTGATAACACTAATACAGGTGTCATGCGGTGAGGGCTGGTGTTCCTAAATTAATGAAAAGTGTTTGTTTGCCAGCATAGTTTTATGAACATAAGACTTTTCACACAAAGTATTTTAATTATTTACATATGAAAACTTGGGCTTGCCGGGCGGTGGGCAGAGGCAGGTGGATCTCTGTGAGTTCGAGACCAAGCCTGGTCTACAGAGAGAGTTCCAGGACAGGCTCCAAAACAATACAGAGAAACCTGTCTCGAAAAACCAAAAACAAAAACAAATAACAAAAAACAAGCAAACAAAAAAAAAAAAACTTGGGCTCACACGTGTTGGAGGTTCCATGTGGAGTGGTTTGGGGTTTGGGGCTTTGTGCTTTAACTGCACAATTTCTTTTCAGGCTCTCATCTGTAAGGACGTCTTGCTCTCTTCCTTTAACATGAGAAAAACTCAATGAGTCACTAGACAGAGCTCTTTGGTTCTTCTTGACTGTCTGGTTTTTTTCTTGGCACGTGCACTTCCCAAATACAAAGGCCCCTAGGCACTCCCTGATAACCCTCCCATCTTGCTGATTACACATCGTGACTCTGTGCCCACGGGCATCTTGGAAACTCTTCTGTTTCAGGACACAGATAACATCTGGTTCGCTCTCTTGGAGAGATCAACTTCATAAACTAAGCTTTTCTTTTTCCTCCTCCTGTGCCTCTTTTCTCCTTTTACCCCTCCTCTTCAAGCCCATTATCACCATGTAGTCCAGACTGGCCTCAGATTCCCTCCCATTTTTCTGTCCCAGCCTGCCGAATGCTGTGATCACAGGTGTGCACCACCCCTTGTAAGGAAGCACTGTTTAGAGGGCAGAAGTATTTGCCAAACACGAAGTCCAGTTTTGTTTT